CGGCGCGTCCCCGCGGCCCTCCCCCGCTCCAGACTCCGCAGCCCAAAGAGAAGGAATGGCGTGCTCGCTGCAGCGTCATTTCACATGCAAAAAACCTGGGACGCTCTCGAATGTCCCGTGACAGTGGGCGTGATGGGCGTGATGCAGCCGGATGCTGGGCGGCTGTCGCCACGGTGAATGAATGCATCCCGTCCTCGGAGCTGCGGGTGGCCAAGCTGACGTCTCTCTGTCCCGCTCCCTTGCATTCGCGTCTGCTTCGTGATGCCAGGCAGGACAAGAGCCAGCGTCGTTGGGCCTGCAAGGGTGCAGGGACGCGCCCGGCTGCCTGGGATCCTGCCAGCGTCCCCAGCCGCAGCCTCACCCCAGCAGCAGTTGGTACCAGCTCCCCGCGCGTGTTGTTGTTATTGTTTTGGCATCACCAGAACCAGCTCGTTGTGTCCTCCTGGAGAACCGGCACCAGCTGGCCTGCGCCCGCCCCCAGCAGAACCCGCCTTCCCCCACCACCCTGCCCCGAGCTTCGGATTCTGCCGCCCCCAACCTCTTCTCCCCTTGCCGGGCCTTGGGCGGCATCTCCTCCCGCAGCACAGGTACGTTCTCTGATGTTCCTCAGTCCTCTGACGCCTGTTAAACCAGTTCCTCACATTGACTCTTCCTCTGTGGAAATACTTAACGTGGACCTGGACTGGTGCAGCCACCACAAGCCAGGAAGTACAGGTACGCAATAGGGACAGGTAATCAGACTGGCAGGCGGGCAGACGCTCGTGTGCATTAGAACAAATATACAGACACCTGCACATGTGCCATAGATGGACATGTACATACAAGGGCATAAGTACACATTTCACATCAAGTACACATACGCTACACACTCACACCTCCTATCTAAAATTCCAGCTCGTCCTCACAACAAGCCCTCTGTTCCACAGAAGACACGGGTGGGGGCTATGACAAATTCCACAAGCTACGGAACTGCTAAATGACAAAGCTGGGGTTTGAATCCAAGTAGCACCGACTCTACGATCTGCCTTTTTTCTACCATGCCCAAGGTCCATGTGTCCTTAACAGCGTTCTACAGCAATCCCTAGCCTAGCCCACAAGTGTTTTTGGACCTCGTCGCACAAACAAATGACCACACTGTCCTAGAGAATGTAACCATCACATGCAGGACCACCACGTGCTTCTGTGGCTGAGTTACGGGAGTTCGAGGAGACTGCAGGCTAGGTGTCATCCGTTCACTTAGTTAATGTGGTTATTGCCTTTCGTGTGGCTGCCCGGGTGCCTAGCTCACAATGCCAGCAAAGCAAACCTGTTCCCTCCTCCCAAAAGCGTACGGTCTAGGAAAGTTGTCTTTAATAAAATCATCACACGTAGGAGAGGTACCTCAGAGGTTTATAGGGGGACCTTAGGCTGCGTGAGTACAGGGCCATTCCAAACGCCGAGCACCCACCCCCCCACACGCGCACAGATAAACACACAAACACATAAATGCGCAAACATAAACACACACATAAATGCACAAACACACAAACACACACATAAATGCACAAACACATGAACACACACAAATGCACAAACACGAACACACACACGCACACAGATAAACACACACATAAATGCACAAACAGGCATACATATAAATGCACAAACACATGAACACACACAAATGCACAAACAGGAACACACATATGCACACAGATAAACACACATAAATGCACAAACACACATAAATGCACAAACACATAAACACACACATGAACAAACACACATAGACACAGACGCACTGCACACAAGCACACACCCAAGAGCTTAGCACCTGCCCCTCTGCCATCTGGAGTGGCACGTCCCCTGGGCTTTTGTTGGCTGGGATTTGTCAGTCCTCACTCCAGAGTGACCTCAGGTGGAGATCCCAGCAATGAAGGTGGAGCTGTGTGATGTTCCCTGAAAACCCACTCCCCTCTGGTCACGAGACCATCAACGTTTCCGTGGCAGCAGCCACGCCCAGCTTTCCCCTGCGGCCTGGATGCCGTCAGTAACGAGGCCTGCACCCATCCATGGACAAGTGGCCAGGCTTCTGGGGGACGGACCCCCAGATGTGCAAACACAGATCTCACCAGACCAGAAACTCTTGCTGTATCAGGGCCAGGAGTCTGTTTGTCACTCCACCGCCACAGCTAAATTTCTGAACTCCCTTTTGACCACATTTTATTAGCCAAGGAACAGATCATTAGTCAACTATGCAGCAGAGGAAAAGCAACGGGCCTGTCACGGCCACGGCCCACAGATGGCGTGCGGATTAGTGGGCGAAGCTGCAGACACACAGGGTGGTCACGCAACCTCAAGGCGCC